ATAATTGATATCTAACATGCTAAATTTGAAATAAAGTATTAGTATATTTTTATGTGCTTCTATGCAACAAAAATATATTACCTGATCTATTTCTGAAGTTGTTGACATAGGTTTGAAGGGAAGTGTGTCAAGGTGTGTTTTAATGGAATGGATATTAAAATCATATCATATTCTTTATTAGTTCTGGTTACCATTCCATTTTGAATATTCACTGCCAAATCTAGAATTCTTTTGTGATAAGCTAACCAATAAGCAATTTCAAACTCATTGTACATGCTTTGAAATTGTATTGGTCACTTTAGCTATAAATTTAATTCAATTGCAATATCTCTAGTTTCCTGTTGTATTCCTTCAGATTTCTTTTGGAATAATTCTTGTACATGAGAATCTTGTGAAGATTTTATTCGTCTAGAAGGCAATAATATTACAGAAGAATTTGATAGACCTGCAATAGTAAACCTCTGTCAATTTTGACTTATAGTTTCATTATTTGATAAAGCATATACTGATTGTTCACATTGACTTTCACTATCATTTGTTAAAAAGTTTTTCAATAATTCCTGTTATTTTTGTTTAGAAACTGGACTAATAATTTCAGTATCATATGAATCCTCTAATGTAGTATTCTGCTTTTGAGTTATTTTACGTGTTGTTTTTGTTGCTTTTACAGAAACTAAACTTGAATCTTCTAATGTAGCATTCTGTTAGATTTTTGTTTTTGAGTTGCTTTTCGCAATGATCTTGCTGAAGCTTTTTTTGTCAAAGTTGAATTTAAATCTTCCAGTGTAGAATCCTGCTAGATTTTTTGTTTTTGAATTATTTTTCGCAATGTTCTCGCTAGAGCTTTTTTTGTCGAAGTTAAACTTATAGTTTCATTACCTGAAGATTATGTAAAATAATTTGAGTAAAATAATAGAATTGATTAAAAATTTGTTGTTATTGTAGAATATATATTTAGTCGCGTATTACCAATTCTATCATTAAAGCTAATAGACAAGAATATTTTAGAAATTTTTATTGAACTTACCAAATTTTCGTTTAGATATATTTAGCAAGCTAAATATCTTTTTCGTATTTTTTTCTTTTTTGAACTTTTGACATTTAAATACAAATGAAATTAAAAAAGATGATTTATATTTAAAAATAATAATGTGATTTTAATTAAAGAAGTTATTTATTTATTTATTTATTTACATCAATCAATTGCAATCCTTTATTTTTTAATTATTTATCATTTTCTAATTAGAAACAAATCAATCAAAGTATTATATTTATTTAACTAAATCATATTTAACCACAAGCTTTCTCAAGCTTAATTTTATTTTTATTTAATTTAAATTTGTGTATCAATTTAACAAATTTTTAATCACCGTAATTAGACGCTGATCAATTTTTTCTTAGTAAATTCATTGTCTAATTTTATTTACTGTATAATATATGATTAAAATAATTGTTACTTTAATAATAAGGGTGACATTAATTAAACTTGTCTTTTTGATTGATATATTGTTTCTAATTAGAAAATGATAAATAATGGTAAAGAATTACTAAATGATAATACAGTTTCAGTAAATGATAATGTATACAATGATGAATCGGTTGATGTTATTAAAGAAGTTTTGACAAATGATGATGAATCTGACGAATCTAACATTGAAGAAGATCTAGTAGATGATATATTAGAAGAGTTGTCTTTTGACTTTAAGGGTTTTGATAGTGAGTATGACTCATACTTTCCAAATTTTACATCAGTAATAATCTTTATTTAGATTACTAAGCATATGATTTGTAAGTAATATTATGTAAGTACTTTACTTTATATATTAGCATACTCACCAATTTTATGTAGCGATCTTTGCGTATGAAGATCTTGTTAAAATTTTTACACATTTCAAGTACTGCAAAAAGAATATAACTATGAATATTCACTGAATCCGTAAATAGAGAGACAGACTACCATTAATTAAAGTACAACAACATAATATACTTCTTTGTATGTAACGATCACTATCCACATATAAATCTACAAAAAAAGCATTTACTATTTCTCCATTAATATATTTAAAGCATATTTAAAATAATCCAATATTAATGCTGAAGATGTATTTTAGACCCGGAGTAGTTGCAAGTAAAAAATATGAATTTTGGCATGGTGAACTCTAGCAGAATTCATTATTGTTTGGAGAGCATGAAATAAAAAGTAACAATAAAGGTTAGTGATATTTTTTTAGAACTTTATATTAGAATTAATCGAAACTAAAATAGTATATACTTTATATCTAGTAAGTTATAGTGCAAGTGATTTCTTAATATGTCACGAACAATCAATAGAACTTATATGCAGAGTATATAGTGTAGTGATTGATGAAATAGATAATACATTTAAGCTAAAAGTTGGTCATTTTCTTTTGCATAAAAACCTTCCTAACTGTTACACTAATGATAACTGACATATTCGTGAAAATGGTAAAGAATTGTGGCTAGTTGAAAGAGAAATAATTTTGGTAAATCTAACAAATATAGATTACCACATCATTGTTTGATTATGCGATATGCCAGAACCTATGGAGTATGATTTTTATGTTCAAGAAATTGTATATCATTTTGATGGCAGGTGAAAATACCATAATATTACAATGAGACATAGATTACCTTATGAATATATTACACTTGCTTTATCATCGCAGCACCTGCCTGTTTTAAAGATTTTTTTTGATATTTATGTTGATAATTTTGGTATTTACAGAAATGTGTACCATTCGTTAGGCGGTATTTATTTACAATTTGAAATATACTATTAATTTTTCGAAAGCAATTAAAAAATCATTTTTTGATTGACTTTGTTCCATTTGGTGTAAGTTTTAACGATTTTATTAAACCAGTGCTTCAAGATATAAAGCGTTTAGAAAATGGTCTTGTAATGCTAACTTTACATGATGATGTATGAGTTATAAATAGTATTGGGTGTATTATTGCAGATCTATCCCAAGGTAACGATTTGGCAAATGTAAAATGATATGGGACTAACCATGATTACTGAACATGTAATATTTCAAATGAATAGTATACTAGCTTGGAGTATAATTTTATAGAAAATGCACGTTTTTATCAACAAACAGAAGAATAGCTTAGAGAGATTGAAAGTCAACATTCAAAAATAAACAAAGAATGACTAACTATTAAATATAGGTTAACAAAATCAGGACCTTTCAATGTGTTTAAATGAGATTGACACCTTCAAACATCATAAGACGCATATCACTCTATGGTCAAAAAAGCACGTACCCTACTGAAAGCAATATTTAAAGTGTTAAATACAGCTAGTGAGAATGCTTTTGTGGACTCTTGAAAAAAAATTAAAAAACCTTCTCATTGGTGTCGAATGTCAAATCCTTTAAAATATCATCAAAGTTTCATGTTCTCTGATATATTAAGACTTTCAATGCTAATGTCATTTATAATCTGACGTTTTTTAAAATCATATCATATAAAATTAGAGATTTTAAACAATTGGAATATGAATTCAGGAATAAGATGAAGTTCAATTGTAATAAAATTATGTATATGTTAGGTAATTGAAGCGAAGGTATTAAAACTTGCATTCTCAACTACTATAACAGAAAGTATTTATCAAGAATTGCAAGAAACTCTCAAAAAAGAACATGATATATTTATATAAGTAATTTATTAAATTATTTTAAATATGCTATATTTTGTTACAAATATTATTACAAAGTTACTAACAATCTAGTAATCTTTATATTTTATTAGTTATTTTTAAATACTTTCACAAATCTTCTTAATTTATATGTAAATATATATTTTTTACAGCATACTTGTAATTTTGCGACACTTGTTGGTGTAAAAGAAATAGTACATCATACGTTTAAAATTATGGTATCACATATGAACTGCAAGTTAGTTGAACTTGACCTTACTCAACGATATAATACGATACTAGTATTATGATATCTTATTAATAGTTGGATAGATTCTCATTTTAGTACAAGACCAAATATATTATCTAATCTTATCGCAGATCTAAATATTTACACAATATTAACTGGCTGGTATGCTACAGAAAATTCATCTAATATTATGAATAAACAGATATTTGAAAACGAATGTGATAGTAAGTATATTTTATAAAGCTGTTATTGAAAATATATTTTATATTACCAATTTAATATTATTTATTAGATTATAGTATTATTATATTGATATTTCATTAAGAAATAGATGGAGTGTCAAAAAAGTTAATGATATAAGACTATTAAAAAAGTTGGATGATAAACATCCATTTTTTCAAGACCTTTCTATATCATATATGGAATACTTTGAGTCAAAGGGTGTACTGCTAAATAGGAAATTAGAATTTTATAATTCTATTGCATATACTGTTCTTAAAAGTAATTAAGATTCTATTTAATTGAAAATTCACGTTGGTAATGTTATGGAATTGGAAGAAGAGTCTGAAGGTATTGTATATGTCAAAATCAAATTGATTTTTTAGCATCAAGTGAACAACAGCCAATATTACGTATTCTTTTTATTCGATTGATTTGAAACAATAAACTCTATCAATACTGTATTAGAATGTCTATTTTACAACATCCAAAAGTCAGAGGAGTCACGTTGATTTCAAATTTTTTCAATTAATTTTATTGTTCATATTCTGTATATACATTTTATTCATAATTGTATAATTACATGCAAAATTTAACATGATAAAACTAATCAAAGCTATATTTTAAATAGATTTTATTATAATGCAGTATAGATAGGATATATGTATATATTATATTACTAATACATAATAAAAATATTTTATTATATTACTTTGTTATATTATTTATATTATTAATATATAATTGTGATATAACATTAAATATATTTCTAACATATTTTTAACATAACATTAAAATATATTTTTTATATAATTTTGATATATGATTGCTATATAATATTAAAATTTCTAACATATGTTTGATATATAAAATTGAAAATTTATATTATATGTTTAATATATTGTAAGCATATAGTTATAATAAAGATAACATAAATGTAAATACAATATGTCTGATATATTTTGAAAATATAATTAATATATTTTTTATATTGATAAGGTTTCTGTAAAGATTCTCACGCTACACTATGCCTTTTATTTCAGTATTAATTATTTATCAATTTAAGTTTAATTCCTAATAATGAAATTCAATTAGATGAAAATACAAAACCTTTTGGTAAAAATTTAAAGGCAAAAGAAGTTCTGTTGACTTTCAATTCAATTTTTAAAGAATTACCTAACTGCCAAATTAAAAATAATCTTTTGATTCAATTTTCTTCTAAATATAATACTGAAATTATTAACGATAAAATAATAAACTATTTTAATAGTGAGTTATATTGTCCTCTAATACATGTAGTAATACTAAAAGCAGAAAATGATCCAAATAAGAATACAAATATAAATGCTGTATGTGATCAATATTTTGACGATTTGCAAATAAATGATAATTCAGCAGGAATTGAAGTAATATGTAACAAAACTATTTTTTGGAGAGTTCTTACAGTAGCGGTCATAAGTATCCGACCGCCCGAGATCGTCCAAAATTATTATATAACTACCCCTTAAATTTTCC